GTTGGGTGCTGACTTGTGTTGAAAGATGTAAGGCATGCTCCTGACATGCGACTGAACCTAATCTCGGTAGGCAAGCTTGACGATGTCGGGTTAGTGAACTACTTCGGTAGTGTTAGATGGAAAATGTCCATGGAAAACTTGGTTGTTGCCCGAGGTAAGAAAGAAGACTCAATGTACGTGATGCAAGGAAATATCAATGGTGGAGAAGCCAATTCTGTCCGAGATGGACCTAACTTGGAGCTGTGGCACAAGCACCTCGGCCACATGACTGAGAAAAGGCTCCAGATCATGAACAAAAAAGGATTACTGACTGGGTTGAAAAGCCAAGCGTTGGAGAGTTGCATGCACTGCCTAGCTGGAAAGCAGCACCGGGTTTCTTTCGTGAAACTAGATCAACCCAGAAGACGCAGGTATTTTCTTGACCTCGTCCATACTGATGTATTCCCCATGTCGGAGAGATCTCTTGGAAGAGCTCAGTATTTTGTTTCATTTATTGATGACCATTCCCGCAAAGTGAGGGTTTATTTGTTGAAGTCTAAAGACCAGGTACTCCAATCCTTTAAAAAATTTCATGCAATGATTGAAAGGGAGACTGGCAAGAAATTAAAGGTGGTCAGATCTGACAATGGTGGTGAGTACTGCGGCCCATTTGATGCTTACTGCAGAGCGGCCGGGATCCGACTTGAGAAGACGCCCCCCAAGACACCTCAGCTAAATGGACTGGCTGAGCGGATGAACAGAACTATTGAAGAGAAGGTACGAAGCATGCTATCCAATGTTGGATTGCCAAAATCATTCTGGGGAGAAGCCGCCAGAACTGATGTTGACTTGATTAACCTCTCACCATCATGGCCACTTGAAGGAGAAATTCCAGAAGAAGTATGGACATGTCAGTAAGCAGCCTATAATCAATTGAAGGTGTTTGGATGCCGAGCTTTCGTGCATATCCCTAAAGATGAAAAGGCAAAACTTGATGCGAAGATAAAAGAATGCATCTATCTTGGTTCGCCGAGATGTGAGTTCGGGTTTCGACTTTGGGATCCAATCAATAAGAAGATAGTGAGAAGCCGAGATGTGATATTTCATGAAGATGAGACCATTCATGACATCTCGAAGCCCAAAGTTCGGGTTACTGTAAGACGTGAAGAACCCATCCCTCCTGTCCGAGCTGAAGCAGGAGGAGAAAATCAAGAGAATAAAGAAAATAATGACCAACAACAAGCTGATGATGACCAAGACACTAAGGCATGAGTTGATGATGAGATCCGGGATGAGAATGATGAACCGGGTTCTCAAACTGAAGAACAACCGAGATATCCAACTCGAGAAAGAAGACCCTCTACAAGATACCCATATGATGAATACACAGTTGTAGCTGAAGACAGTGAGCCTCAGAGTTACGAAGAGGTTGTGACAAGCTCAGAAAAAGAAGAACGGGAAAAGGCAATGAAAGACGAGATGAAGTCGAGTCCTCAGACTTATGAGCTGACCGAGTTTCCTGAAGGAAGACGAGCTTTGAAAAATAAATGGGTCTACAAGATTAAGAATGAAGAGAACAGGCAGAGCCGAGATACAAAGTCCAGATTGTAGTGAAAGGATGAAATCAGAAGAAGGGAGTAGATTTTGAGGAGATTTTTCTCCTGTGGTGAAAATGACCTCGGTCCGAACCGTGTTAGCCATGGCGGCCTCGATGGACCTCGAGGTAGAACAAACGGATGTGAAGACGACATTTCTTCACTGTGATTTGGAAGAAGAGATATATATAGTGAAACCTGAAGGGTTCCGAGCTCCAAACCAAGAAGACTTGGTATGTCGGTTGAAGAAGAGTCTCTATGGCTTGAAGCAAGCACCTCGGTAGTGGTATAAGAAGTTTGATTCATTTATGACTGATCACAAGTTTGAGAAGACAGACACCGACCACTGCGTATCTGTGAAGAGGTATGAGGCCAGAGATTTTTTGATTTTGTTGTTATATGTTAACGACATGCTTATTGTAGGGAAAGACAGATCGAGGATAACCGCCCTGAAGAAGGCGTTGAGCTCTTCTTTCGCAATGAAGGACCTCGGCCCTGCAAAGTAGATACTCGAAATCAAGATTATCCGAGATAGACAAAAGAAGCTACTGTGGTTGAGTCAAGAGAAATATATTGAGAAGATTCTAAAGAGATTCAGCATGGACAAAGCCAAAAAAGTGAGAACCCTCTAGCCGGACACATAACGCTGGACCAGAAGCAATGTCTGAGATCTGATGAAGACAAAGATGAGATGCTAAAGATCCTGTACAAATTTGTTGTCGGAAGCTTGATGTACGCAATGGTTTGCACTAGACCGGGCTTGGCATATGTTATTGGAATGGTGAGCCGGTATCTGTCGAATCCCGGCAAAGAGCACTGGGAAGCAGTGAAGTGAATCTTCAAGTACTTCCGAGGTAAGACCAAATTATGTCTCCGATTTGGATAAGGCAAAGCCGAGTTGGCTACTCAGATTCTGATTTAGGGGGAAATTCTGACTCGAGGAAGTCGACGACGGGATACGTGATGAGATTTGTCGGAGGAGCCGTCTCTTGGCAATTAAGACTTCAAAAGTGTGTTGCACTATCGACGACTGAGGCCGAGTACATTGCCGCGACTGAGGCAAGCAAAGAGATGTTGTGGATGAAGAAGTTCCTCATGGAACTCGACCATGATCAAGACAAGTACGAGCTGGGTTGTCACAATCAAAGCGCAATCTATCTTGCGAAAAATTCGACCTATCACTCCCGCACTAAGTACATTGATGTGAGGTATCACTGGATCCGGGATGTGGTGGAAGGTGGAGAGCTCGAACTCGTCAAAGTGTACACTGACCAAAATTGGTCCGACATGATGACGAAGCTGATTCCAACTAGAAAATTTGAAGACTGCTGTGAAGAAGCCCGGTTGTTGCTGAAGCCGACGCATTGAAGTCGGAGGGGGAGATTTGTCGGGCTTCCTCCTTCAATGCTAAGCTCAAGCCCATTGAGGGGTTTCCTAAAAATCCTAAACCCTAGATCTCACCTTCTCTATATATTCATTAGTTGTGGGTGGAGGTTAGGTTAGAGAAGAGATTTGAGAGAAAATTATTTGAGAGATTTGTGAGCAAAGCTTTAAGCTTTGTATTTGAGAGATCTCTAGAGAAAGTTTGAGTGAAACATCTCTAGGGTAGTTTGATTATCACCATTGTTGGAGAGGTTGAGTTAACCACCACATTGGTGTATTTTGATTCTTTGTATCCATTATTTTCATAGTGGACGTTTGATCTGGACTAGGTCCCGTGGGTTTTTTTATTTCTTCATTGAAGAAGGTTTTTTCACGTTAAAATTGTTTGTGTTCTACTTCTCTCCCTCTCATGTTTGTGTTTTTCGTTTTTTCGCTGCGCTGCCCGACCTGGTGAAGTTCAGGCCGAGGTAATATTGTCGAGATCCGAGATCCAGGATCTTGTTGACTGACTTTCGCAAAAAGGCTGTTTAGCCGACTTGAGGGAACCGAGTTCCCAACAGATGACATGTCTGAGACATCGGTGCTGACGTGGACAACGTCATAGTTGAAGTCAGGTCTGTTTTTAGGCTCGGGCCCGTTAAGTGGTTGATCCATCAGGACGAGATGGGCAAGTGACAGCAAAGGCGGTGGCAACGCAAGGGGGGGTTGTTGGTTGCTATTGCTCCTTGTGTTCACCATATTAGTAATGTAGGTAGAAATTTACCTTTCCCCACAGATGGCGCCAATGTTCTATCTAGCGAATAGAGATGTCTAGTCGAAGATTAATGAGTTTATCTTGGATCTAGGGCTCTCATGTATCTACGAACGAGTTATCTTTAAGGGTGACAGATCTTTGTGCACAAACAATAGCGAAGTAACCAAATGAGTGTTGTGTGTGTACAATGACATGATATATTGAGAGAGGTAAGTGTTATACCTCTAGGCTTTATCTATTATTTATAGAGTTTACCTGTGGGTAGTGAAATTATGAACCTTTGGTGACTTTTTTGGGCCCAATGCTTGGTCTATTGCTATAATACTAGAATTAGTATCATTTAGGGATTTTTTTTTCCTTTATTTCCCTTAGTTTCTTTTTTCGGTGCTTTTCTTGGACCTTCTAGAATATGAGCCTCTAAGATGGGCCCTAGAGAAAATAAAATAAAATAAATCTCACTCATTTTTTATGTGTGTATGAAATAATTTTATCTAATGTAATATAAGAAACAATATTTTCTATATTTTTGTTTTTCGAAAAAATAAACTGTATTATTTAATACATACACGTGGCTAGAAGGCTGAGTAGGCTAGAAATTTCCAAATTTTGTTTTGAGTAAATATCCTTTTTGGTCCTCAGAAAATTTCACGAGACCCGTTTTAGTCCCTAGCAAATAAAAAGGCCAATCGTGGTCCCTAAAAAATTTAAATTGGACCCAATTTAGTCTTTTTGAGGACTAATATGGCTCTTTTTTGAATTTGTGAGGACCACGATTTCAACTAAATAGGTCCTTTTGAATTTTTGAGGAACCACGATGGACCTTTTTATTTTCTAGGGACCAAAACAGGTCTCGTGAAATTTTTTGATGACCAAAAAGAATATTTACTCTTTTATTTTTTTTTGTCCAACGTGACGAGTCCAATCAATAGAAATAGTCAATCAACTTTTGCCGAGTCAGTTAACCTTGGCCTTCACTCAGACGTTGGCCTTGGGTGCTAAGGAGTCGACCATTAAGTCTACGGAGAAATTAATAGAAAAACGAATATTTAAGGAGATGCAACTTACCTTTAGACTAACTCTCTCTTTTTTTAGAAAAAGAAAGAAAAAAATATTATACTATTTTTTTTTAAACATATAGACTGAACGACAAAAAATAAAATTAAATAAAAAAAGTTACAGATTCGGTGCCGTGATGAGCAAGTCTATCCGGTCAACATACAGTAGGTAAGAAGAAGTCCTTTTCAGTTGTTCCCATTTGAAAGTTCCATTCCCAAATAACAATCACCATCACACCAATCTAGTAATATTTAATAACCAGAAACACCACACGAAATTCATCAACAACTTTCTCAAACAACCCATTAACAAAAACACAAAATGTCCTTTTTTTCCTCCTCCTCCGCAGACTCCCACCTGGCCACCGCGAAGACTGTCCTCACGACGGCCGCCTCGGTGGCCGCCACCGCAATGCTTGTCCGGTCGGTGGCCAACGAGTTCCTCCCAGGAGAACTCCGCGACTACATCCTCGGCGGAATCCGAAGCATATTCTCACGCTTCTCCTCAGAACTAACAATAGTCATCGACGAGTTCGAAGGCCTAGTCAACAACCAAATCTACGAATCCGCAGAGACATACCTCGGCACCAAAATCTCACCCTCAACACAAAGACTCAAAGTAAGCAAACCCGACGCCGAGAAAGCCTTCTCCGTCACAGTGGAACGCGACCAAACCATAACCGACGTCTTTAACGGCGTCAAACTTAACTGGGTCCTAATCTGCCATCACGTCGAAACCACAAACTTCCACAACCCAAGGGACCTAAACTCCACCTTAAAATCAGAGGTTCGTTCTATGGAACTCACGTTTCACAAGAAGCACAAGGACATGGTTCTCAACACTTACCTTCCCTTCATCCTCAAAGAGGCAAAGTCGTTGAAGCAAGAGGCCAAGGCGCTGAGGATCTTCACGTTGGACCAACAAAACATGTATGGGAACTACAGCGAGGCGTGGCTTGGAATCAACCTTGACCACCCTTCCACGTTTGACACGCTGGCACTTGATAGTGAGACCAAGGAGTTTGTAATGGAGGACCTGAAGAGGTTCGTGAAGAGGAAAGAGTATTATAGGAAGGTTGGTAAAGCGTGGAAAAGAGGGTACTTGTTGTATGGCCCACCTGGTACTGGAAAATCAAGCTTGATTGCTGCTATGGCTAATTACTTGCATTTTGATATCTATGATTTGGAGCTCACAGAGTTAAACTATAACTCGGAGCTTAGGCGCTTGCTCATATCTACGCCTAATAGGTCCATTGTTGTGGTGGAGGATATTGATTGCACCATTCAGTCACAGGATCGCTTGGCGGAATCGGGAGAAACTTCCGGAAATCACGAAAGACAACAGGTAACACTTTACTTTCCTCTTTTTTTTTCCAGTGTTTGTGTTGTGACAATTGTGTATTATTGGAAAGTTCATTCTAAATGGATAATATGACTATTTTCTTTCTTTACAATGTAGTATAACAGAATAGAAATTTCAATACTAGAAATTAACCAGTGGAGTGAGGATCTAATTAATATCTTTTTTAATCTTAAAAATAATAAATAATTTAAAACAATCTTTGAGAAAATTCTGAGGAAGTAATTGTTTCGATAATTGTTAAATCATTGAGAAAAACTTGACTTTTTTAGGGAATTGGATCCCGTGCAGATCAACTACTCCGTATGAATCGAAACCTTATTAGTGTAGTTAGAGATTAACGGGATTTGTTAAATTTTTAATATTTTAATTTTCATATTGAATAATATATTCATATATTATTATTTGTAAGCATTAGGCGGCTTATTCTCACAAGCCGCGTGGGATCCAGCACTAAAAAAATGAAAGGAGAAATATTTAATACTTCATGTGAAAACATAAAGGAAATATAATAAAGCTTTAATATTTATGTAGTAAACGTAAGTTGAAAAATTAAAAAATTATAATGAAAAAGATTATTATAACCTTGAAAGAAATATAATTACAAAAATACCTTGATTTCCGCCTTAAAACGATGTCGTTTTGAGTTCAACGTAAATAAATTATTTACATTGACCATAAAAAAAAATCCATATAATAAGTTAGGTTTAAAGTTTCTAAAGAACTTATTTTAAATAATTTTATCTAATGTTCATCAAAATATACAAAGTGTGTGAGATTCATATTTTTTTCTTTCACTTTTCTTCACATGGGTTCATATGAACCCTACACATTTTTTTATATGTAAAATAACTTTACAAATTTTAAACCCAATAATTTATCCACTCTCTAACTTTACCAAATATATTTCGGCAGTCATTGTTGACTTGAATTTTTTTTTTTTAACATATACATTGTTTTTACCCTAATAATTTGTGCTACACCTACAGGTCACTTTGTCAGGGTTGTTGAATTTCATTGACGGGTTATGGTCAAGTTGTGGGGATGAGAGGATTATAGTGTTCACAACAAACCATAAAGACAAGCTTGACCCAGCGTTGCTTCGCCCTGGTCGGATGGATGTTCATATCCACATGTCATATTGCACTCCCTGTGGTTTTAGGCAGCTAGCAGCCATTTACCTCGGAATTAAAGAACACTTACTCTTCGGAGAAATTGAGGAGGCGATTCAAGAAACACAGGTGACTCCAGCGGAAGTGGCGGAGCAGCTTCTGAAGAGCAGCGACAATATTGAAACTACGCTTAAAGGGCTTCTAGATTTTCTTAGAAAGAAGAAAGAAAGTCAGGAACTTGAGGCTAATAAGGCAGAACAGGAGGCCAAAGATAAGGAGGAACAACAGAGGAAGCAGAAAGAGGATGGTGATAAAAAAGATGATAATGACGAAAAGAAAATTGTAATTGAGTAACACTAGCTGAAATTAGAGAGTACGGGAATATAGATTGGAGTGTAAAAGAAGTAACAATAATTTTCTAAACAATAAAAATATCAGGTGTTGTATACTTCTATTTACAAAAAGATGGTGTTATTAGCGATTTTTTTTAAAAAATAAAATAAATATAAAAAGCTATTTTACGAGTAGATATATAATTTAAGTATTATTTTTGTGCTTCTAACCTTTTTATGTTATAGAAATTAAGTTTTTTTTTTCTTTCCCTTTTTATGTTTTATCCCTATCTTAAAAAGCCACTCAGTAACACAACTGTAAAAAGTTTTATTTATTTTTTCAAAATTAATGGAAATATAAAATTAGATTTGTATTTAATTTAAAGAAATTCTTTTTTTAAGTTCTCTAATAGTGTTTCTACAACCTCAACCTTGTTTTCCTTCCTGAAATTAATGAACAGTACATGGTCAAAATAGTTGCATAAAAACTCATCCCGTAATATATTTTTTTTGGAGATTTTAAAAAAAAAATTTATGGTCGAATTCATTCTTAAGAATTTTTAAGAAATTAAGAAAAAAAAAAGGCAGTCAACCTTGGCTGGCCACCACTCAAGAGACCGGTCGAAGTTTTTTTTAAAACTATAATTTACAAATTCAGTTTATATTTAATATGTTAAAGTATGTTCCCAAAAATTAACGTCATATACAATCTCAAATGATTACATGATTTCTTTTATAATGACATGTTATGTCACGGTTAATAGTTAATAGTTGGAGTCTTTGTTACTGACTCAAATAGTATTATTAGGAAGTTTAACAAACAATAGAGAAAGTTGGGTGTTTACTGGAACAGTGACTTGTCACTGTTCATCGTAAAATTTATCAGAATGTCACGCGCACAGTAAAAATTCCTAAACTGCCACGCAGGCTAATTCGCTACACAGTGTAGCGAATTAGGGTTGCTGAGTGTCACCTCCTCACTGGTCCACGTATTTCGCTACACAGTGTAGCGAAATACGTGGTCAAAAGGTCAGCCTGGTCAGTCACCTTTTGGACACGTGTCACATCCCTGTTGGACACCTAATTCGCTACCCTGTGTAGAGAATTATGTATCAGAAGGGTCAGATCATGTTAACTCAAAGTCAGGCCACGTGTCAGTTCCTCACATAATTCGCTGTACTACATAGCAAATTATGTGGCTATTTTTGGTATGACTCATAGCGAAATATGCAAAATCTGCCAAGTGTCATCTCCCCACTAATTCGCTAGGAGGCATAGCGAATTATGATCATTAATTTGCTACCCCCCATAGCGAATTACGAGCTATAAATTAGTCAATTTCGGGTGTGAACCACCACTACGAAAATTTTCCTTTTATGTTAAGGTTTACTACTTTTGTGTTGTTGTTGAATCTTAGTTTTTTTTCTATTTTTGTAGGATGAGTGAGGGTAGAAATGATTTAATAGCAACTGTTTATCATAATAGAAGAAAATACTTTGGTCCAAACGGGCAAGTGTTTGAAGGTGATGCAAAAATGTTTCGCATGAGCCCAAGATGCAATCTTCACGAGCTGAAGAAGTTAATATACAAGAAGTTGAGATTACAACGTGGTCAAACTCTTGCTCGGTTGACCGCTAGATGTGCCTCGGGTAACCCCGTGCAATGGGTTGGTGTGGAAATTGTCGACGATGAAGATGTAACGTTAGTAGTAGATGCAAGCACTTCTAAACACGGCGAGTCAAGATTTATTGAATTGTATGCAGAAGTCAACTACGGTGGACAATCCAGCAGTCAACCGAGCAATCCATGCACTGACATCATCGACATAAACATGGTGCCAGTGGTTAATCTGGAAGTTGAGGTCGCATCCCCAACGCTTGCACCACCAACTCAAGAAATTTTTTATGAAACGGTTCCAGCCAACGATATGTACGATCCATCTTGGCGTACGGATAGTTTCGAGGAAGAGCGTGATAAAGGTCTTGTTCCAGATAGCGAGTCATCGGATATGGATGTCGATGGTGACTTTGATTATTGTCCGCCTACTGCAGTTGAACAACCAATTCCATCGCCAGGCATTGTCGGAATGCAATATCCTCCTGTTGCAGGTACGTAAGGATTAATGCTTTATTGTCCGCGCGATCAGCTTGTAGTACAAACATGAATTAACTTGTTAGTGACTGTGAAACAAGATTATAAAACAACAGCAGTCAATAGTATTACAACATACCACGTGCATCGCAATCGCAGCCCTGCGGGTCATCCATCGACGGGTCACTCTATGAAACCACCCCATATACTCACTGTTAACAGATAGGTGGCCCTGATCATTATGCGCAAGAGGCAAAAGCTCCTATAGTACCAGAGAATCCCTATCCTCCCACTGAGCGATAAAGAAACCATGTAGCTCCCTCTAATCTACGTCTGTCTTACCAGTAATGCTAATCGTCAACAAGTCAAGACAACTTATCAGAGCATGTGGAGCAGGCTGCTGAAATCCAAACTGCCGTAGAACTCAATCGGGCTGCTGATAGACAACGACCTGGTAACAAATAAGTGGACAAACAGATATCCATCTGCGGGCGGTGTCAGAAGGTAGTGGATTACCTTCGAAACCCAGGTACAATCTCCAACAAAACTCACGTCGGCGCATAATGTCTAGACGATGTCGGTACCTGCGAATGTGTGTGCACACAGTCTGCCGCACATCATAATTATTAAACCTGCAACAAATAGTCCACATGTATTACCATACAATAACCGCAAAAATATTAACACCTTGCAATTTGAATAATTTACATAAACAACAGTGCAATTACCTAAGTCCATAAGCAGCATGTACATCAGTGACTTCGGGTACTCCAGGAGAGATAGGCGGGAATCTGGTCCACGCCCATAATTGCAATAAGAGTGCACAACCACCCATTTCAGAACGTCTCCTATCAGTCACTTTGCACAATTCCTTATATAAGACGGCGAGAACTGCAGAGCCCCAACTATAGGTTTCACACCGCTGAAAATTATCCGAATATGTTAAATATATCGCAGGAACGAAGCTGGAAGCAGTGTCCACAAACAGTGTCCCCCCGAGTATGCGCAAAATTAGTGCGCGAGTATATCTCATACGGTCAACCTCAGTGTTTGCGTGGCCTGCATAATCCCGAAACTTATGCCGTAGGAAGTGGAAACCCAACAAACCTCCAAACAAATCCCTACCAGCCTGTGGATTTACGCCTAAGTAGTCATTGACCAACTGCGTAAATGGATGTCGTCTGTGGCGCCCGGACACAACCTCACCATCAGTGGGCAATCCTAGTAGATGATGCACATCCTCCAGGGTAATGGTGACCTCGCCCATCCTCATATGAAAAGTCCGTGTCTCTGGGCGCCATCGCTCGACAAGCGCAGACACAAGCGCATGGTCTATCTGAAATCATAAAAATCTATGTGGTCAATCAGTAATAAATATATTATTATCACAATGCCATATTCCAAATTCAGGATATAGTGATACAATAAAAAATTACTAAGCTCATGGTTGCGCAGGCGCGCAATATGGTAGAAGCCAGCCTGCCTCAGCCATGGCTCAATCTCTTCAGGAATGGCACGGTGATCATGTGTCGCAGCATGTCGCACATTAATCACACGATCCGGGACATTCGGATCCTCACAGGTGTTCCACACATGTGTGGATATATGTTTCTCCTGTAAGGTTAGGAGAGTCTTGTCTGAAGGCCCAGGGGTCAATCACACTGCGTGGAGACCTAGGACGAGGTGCCTCATCATGCTCCATATCTATATAAATTAATACAAAAAAATTAAATTAATATTCATCAACAAAGAATTCATAAATATTTAGCTAAATAAATTAAATTAATAAAAGCACAATTCAATAGGTTTTTCTCCATTTAAGTTTCTGCTTTAACTAAATTAAAATTAAATGCTAACCTATCGTGTCTAAGATCAACAGTAACTAACAATGAAATAAGTTTTAAAAGCATAAATAATAAATTAAATTAATAGATTCACCATAATTTCCAACCTAAGGTTTCAAAATTGTAAGAATTAAACAATATTTCTAAATTATTAACGTTTATAAATTAATTAAAAAATTTAATTATGTAGACCTAACCATTCATTTATGCGTAAAATAAATTAACACATTTATTAACCTAAGGGCTCAAATATCAACATTAAATAATATTAACACATTTTACTAGCCTAAGGTTTTAAAACCCTAAACCCTAAATCTAAATTTATAAATTATTAATGTTTATATATTAATTAAAAATTTTAATTATGTAGACCTAATCATTCGTTCATGCATAAAATAAATTCACATATTTATTAACCTAACGTTTCAAATACCAACATTAAATAATATTCACAAAATATTACAGCATAAATAAAAAATTATTTATATTAGCCTAAGCATTATAGCGTGGAATTAATTAACACATTTTACTAGCCTAAGGTATCAAAAACCAAAATTAAATAACATTACACATGTATTAAAGCTTAAATAATAAATTAAATAAATTATACCTAATCATTTATGCATGATTTAAAATTATCACATTTACTAGACTAAGGTTGGAAATATCAACATTAAATAATATACCACATTCACTAACCTAAAGTTTCACGTATCAACACTAAATACTATAACATATTTACTAACCTAAAGGTTCAAGTCTAAACACTAAATAATATAACATATTTACTAATCTATTGTTTCAAGTATAAATATAAGATAATATAACACATTTATAAAAACATAATTAATGAAACAAACATATTATAAAAGCAATAAAAAAAATTACTAACCTTGTAGAGAGAGAAAGCACTTAGAGAGAGAGGGAGTGAGGGAGAGGATGAGAGAAAATGGTGGGGGAGGGGTGGGGACCGTGGGGTATATATAGGAAAAAACTTGCACATAATTCGCTACCCAGGGTAGCGAATTTGTGCCAAGCTGCCACGTGTCTGACATGCGCAGTGCAGCAGGTGACCGTTGCCACGTATTTCGCTACATAGTGTAGCGAAATATGGGTATCTTATACATGTGGATTATTTGTTGCAGGTTTAACAGTTATGATGTGCGGCAGACTGTGTGCACACACATTCGCAGGTACTGATGTG